GCTTCCGCGACTTATTATTTTATTTTATATCGTCCATGTGGTACAGCCCGTATACTGTACACGGGTTACGGGTGTCACAGTTATTTTGAAGGAAACTAATGAAAATGTGTTTGTCTATACAATGTAATTGTTTCTATTTGGATGATATATAAACTTTGGATGAGATGTTATCGACCCTAAGGTTTTCTCTTCTGACCCTACCCTACTACATTAGTTTGTGTCGTAGTCTCTGTTCACTGGTCTCTGGTTATTGGTCTCTTTTGTTATAAGTGCTAGCAAGTTTCTGTGAACATTAACCTAGATAGCCAGCTGTTTAAGCTCCATTTTTCATGCCTTTAAACATCATCATAATTTAAATTATTTCAAGATTGCTCAAGGCTCCACGAAAAATTACATATAGAACCAATTAGGTTACATTCCACTACGTCTGGATTCAAAGTCTTGTTAATTTGTTCAAGGCCACGCAAGAAGTGACATCTAGGGTCATTCCTCATTACCTCTTGTCATGCCCTTTTTCCGTTGAACTCTAGTAGAAGTGTCATTGACCTGGTTCATTTGGTGGATCACTGTTGCATGAAGATGTTTCTTTGTCCAAAAATGTATTTTCAAATATACAGGTTTCACTCTTTCACGAGTCCTTGAATTTGAAATTCTAAAGCGCATCTTTTGTGTTACCTTTACAGTGATGACTTGTTACTCCAGGAGGAGGATAGTATAGACGACAGATATATTGTTAATGCTTTTGGCAAAGGTCTGCGTCTTGGTTCTGCAGATGCCTCTGTTTCTAAGGGAAGGTTCAACAATACTGCCTCAACCTCATCCTCATCCTCAAATTTGACTGCCCAGAGGTAACTTGAAGATTATTTTTCGCAACTCTGGGGAACTCTCCAGTCCTTTCCTTTTAGCATGCATTCGCTTATACCAAACTGGCAATATTCTTCCGTACCAATAATCCGCTTAGATGTAAATGCCAATACATATCCACATATGCAAGGGTTTTACTTGACTCCTAAAATGTGCATGAAGTGGTACTCTTATCATTTTCTTTTTAAAATTTTTGTGATATTTATCAGTGGAATCTTCCATGCTAAACCGATTTGGCACTACAAACCATGTAGCAGCTTGGTTAGTTGAACTTTGTACTTGTTCGACAATACAATTATGGAAATTGCGGGAATTCCCCTGATGGTAATCCTGCACAATACTCTTGGCGTTGCAGCTATGCATCTAATTCATCTCGATAGTATTTAATTGTTATTACCCTCGTATTTGCCTCGACCACTAGGTATCATCATGCAATACCTTGACTTTCCCCGAGCCTCTTCCAACTCCGCCATTATTTTTGGAGTGAACTCTGTAACACACTTGGTTGCCTGAACCGATCTCTTTGCACTCCGTAACATTGTTTGTCTACGGATTTCTTCAAGCATGTCAATCATTGGTCTTAGTCTTGCCTCTTTGATAGTTCGGTTGAAACTCTCCGATAAGTTGTTACGGACATCCTTGCAATGTGAATCTGCTTTGAAAAAAGCACTACACCATTGTGTTGGCTCAGTTCGGAGCAACGCTTCATA